TGTCGTAGCTCAGTCGATTAAGGCAGCATCTGGGATGCTTTCAGACGCAGGTTCGAATCCTCATCATGGCCCTTGTGGATTTGTTTATTTGATACATCACGCTATTGTGATTTCTGTATGTAATGAAGTAAGGGCGAAGAGGTAGAACGGCCTATTGACATAGCTCGAGTGCATGGGGGAATTGTGTAAAATCCTGGTTTGTGTCTCGGAGAGGCTGCGGGGATCCAAGTAAATTTCAGTAAAATTTTGGTTGCAATTCTTATCCATGTCGTAGCTCAGTCGATTAAGGCAGCATCTGGGATGCTCTCGGACGCAGGTTCGAATCCTCGTCACGGCCCTTGTGGATTTGTTCTGCTGTCACACATTCAGGCCACAATTTTCTCCAGCCAGAGATCAGGGTTCTTTGAGTCACTTCTTGCCAAGCTTTGTCAACGAGTTTTAAAGCACTACAAATGTTAAAATGGTGTTTCCAGAATTCTTTGAAGGTGAGGTTTGTGGCTTCACTCACTTCAAAACATTTCTGGAAATGTGCCCTTTCATGAAGTTTCTTAAAATTCGCTATGATTTTCTGATCCATAGGCTGAAATAGAGGAGTGGTGTTAGGAGGAAGGAACTTTATTGTGAGAAAATTATATCTGTTCAACAATGCATCTTCCAAGCCTGGAGGATGAGCAGGAGCATTGTCGAGGAGAAGCAGGGCCTTGAGTGGCAAACTTTTCTCCTTCAGATATTTTTGTATGGCAGGGCACACCACATCATTCACCCACTCCGTAAAAAAAAATCCTAGTCACCCATGTCTTATTATTAGCCCTCCACATCACACACATTAGTTTTTTCTGCACACCATACTTTTTGAAAACCCTTGGATTTTCAGAATGATACACAAGCAAGGGTTTATTTTCAAATCGCCACTCGCATTTCCACACAGCATAAGAGTAAACCTCTCTTTCATAGGCTTGTGTCCGAGCAATGATGTCTCCTCCTTGGTAATGTATGTCCTCTTAGGCAATCTTTTCCAGAACAGTCCTGTCTCATCACAATTAAACACTTGTTGCCGTAGGTATCCCTCTGCCTCTGCAAACTCTTTAAATTCTTCAATAAATCTTTCAGCCGCTAGTTTGTCTGAGCTGGCAGCCTCCCCATGCCTCACAACACTATGGATACCACTTCGTTTTCTAAATTTGTCAAACCATCCCCTGCTTGCCTTAAAGTCTATCATATCTGCACTTGTTCTAGGGGGTTTCTTTACAAGGTCTTCGTGCAATGCCCTGGCTTTCTCACAAATGATGGCCTCTGAAACACTAACACCCGCTAACTCCTTGTTGTGTATCCAAATTAATAACAACTTTTCCACATCCTCAAGTATTTGTGGTCTTTGTTTCGTGATTGTTGATATGCCTTTTGCCACTTTAGCACTCATAATGTCCTTTTTCTTGGCAAGTACAGTGCATATCGTTGACATGGATTTATTGTACTGCCTAGCTAGTTCAACACTGAGTAGCATTTTCATGCTTATGAATGATCTCTTGTTTTTCCTCAATTGTCATTCTCACATGCGATTTCTTGCCTTGAACCTTACCATTCACTGGCTTTCTTGGGACCCATGGCAAAATATATAATAACAACTTTTATGCTCAAATGGCCAAAAATCCGACAGAAAACTGTAAATTATTGTGAAGAATTCAGGTGGGATAGTCACTGGGCACGAGGCACTGTTAAACTGAGGTGCGATCGCCATGCCACCACGCACTAGGTTGGCCGTATGCATATCAACAAACTTGTATCCCGATGCAAAGTTCGTATCCCGATTCAAATTTTCTGAGCAAATCGGGCTCGTAACCTGAAAATTTCGTAAACAGGGACGTTCGTAACCCGAGGTACCACTGTATTTAATGAAAACAAGCAGTGCCAAGACAGAGCATGTAGAGAAGATACAATTACAAAAGAATGAAACAGGACGAAAAACCCAGAAGCATGGAAGAGGACCAACGAGCCCCAGAAAGGACAGGTGGTAAGCCACACTGGAAGACGACAGACGTTCCAATAATACGGGAAAAAGCGAAAACCTTCCCGAACCTTCGAGAATTCACAGAAGCAAGCACAAATCATGAAGGCTTAAAGGCACAGTCGCACCTGAGACCAAAAGTCATGGAGAACCCCAAGAAGAGGGGAACATGACACCGACGTGATAGAGACGTCCCATCCCAGAGAAGAAGGGCGAGTAAACGAAAAAGAGTACTCACCAACAGGACGGAATTGACGAACCCAAGGGACAAGAAACCGAACCTGGGGAGGGGACCGATACCCAACAACTCGCGCGTAGAGGGGGGGGGGGGGGAAGGAAAATCCCACTCCCCGTAACCGCAAGCCCCGCTCATTGGGTAGAAAAATCCCGACGGGGTCCAACAGGACCCGAGGCCTCCCAAGTCAGCCCCTCCCCAGCCCCGGGAACCCACACGGAAGGCCCCTGGGCAGAGTCGTCCCCCAAAGCCCCAGTCTCACAGGAAAAAGCTGGGGCAGCTGGAAAAGTACTTAGGAAGGGAGCCCACTGGCAGACTCATACAACACGGCTGGAGGAACAGGCTCAAATGCCTCCGTCGCTACCCCGGAAGGGAAATTCCCCAAGACCGCCCGAGTCTCAAGACCATCGGAGCCCCACCCTGACCCCGAACCCACAGACGGTGAGGATCCGGATGCAGGGAGGAAGGGGAAGACCAGACTAAACCACAACAGGGGAAAGACAAGGGGACGCGTACGGAAACAAAACCGAAGCATGCAACACCCCCAAGCCCCGTCACAACGACTAAAATGGGGCAGCCTCAGGACTTCCGGGGAGCAAAGAACCTAGCGTGTTGCCACCCCCTGAACTCAACTTGCAATGCCCGTGCTGCCTGCAACCGCATAGTCAGCATAAGACTGGGTAACAGAGTCACAAACATGCAACAAAACTCGCAGGACTCTGGGCCGAAGGTGCCACCAACCCCACCAGCAACAGACAGAGGCAAAAACAGGGAGAGTCACCCTGAGACAAGGGAACAGAGCAACCCTCAAACTCGCACAAAGCGAGAGGGGGACTCCGAGGTCACATCCATTGAACCCACGCGCCCCTGTGGGAATTCCCAGGGTCCTGAGATGAAACTCACACTCAGGGAGGCACAGGCAGGGTACTGCTAACCGGCGCCCAAGTCTACCAAACAACTTTCTAAGAACTGAACCCCCGGGACGTGTACACTCACGGGGACCTAGCAGGGGGGGGAAACCACCAGAAGAAGGAAGAGTACCCAATACACAGGGGGCAAGAACCAAGGTTTACCCTCCTCCCCCACCAGGCAAGCAAACAAAAAGAAAAAGAAAACCCCGCAAGAGGACAGCATACCCAGGCAGAACACAAACGGCTGCTATGATTGGTAAAAACAAGCTGCACAGTACCCTGTGCCCCTACCAGTGCAAACTGCCCCCTACTCTAAGGCGAACAAGGGAGACAGAACACCCTAGCACACTAAGGGCGGCCGAAAACCCAGCAGTAAACGGCCTAGCAGAGGCAGAACCCAAGGAACTTGTGGAAAGTGGCCCCAAAGGCAGTACTATTGGGCACCTAGGGAAGGAAGTCCTAGACGCATGCAGCCCGAGCAATGGAGAATTACTCCTAGCTCACGCACCACCTAGAAGACAGTCACCACACACAAGCACACAAGGCACAGTGCTGAAACAACTACCGGTGCCAGAGCACCGTTGCCTATAGCATCAGCCTCAGAACTGAGAGGTGGATAACTGGCGCGGAGGTCTGAAGCTCCCCCCTTCCCCATCCCGGGGAGGGGGGAGCAGCACAGACGGCGGCGCGGTGACCTGTGACGTCATACTCGTTTGCTCGTTTCGGTTTGGGGAGTTTTATCCACTTATCCTGCTTTCTGTAGCAATTTTCACCAGACTAGGGGTTTGTTTTGGGACGCCTACCTTTCTGGGTGCCTGACCCGGTCGATGGCAGACATAGAATGCTTCCAACCACACGGGGGTTTCTATAGGCCATTGCTCCTCGTGCCTCTGTGAAGGGGCCAGATTCTGAGTCGTGGTGCCCGGTAGGCCCACAGAACTACATACACATGACTGATGCCAAAGTCTGACATTAGCATATCATCCTGGATAGCTCCATGGAGTCGACAGGGCTCCCCCCCCCCCCAGAAAACCCAGCTGACCCCAAGGGCGGACAATCACCAAGCAGCAAAAGAACTCCTGCGGAGATAGCCCCCGAACAGTTTGTGGAAGGTAACCCCAAACTGCAATGGCAGAACTTACAGGGCACCCAGGGAAGGGAACCCTAGGCGCATGCAGCCCCAAAACTTCTGGAATTACACCTGGCTCACACACCACCACACGCAGCACAACACCACAAGACACCACTGCTTGAGGATTGGAGCCAAGAATGGAGTCGATCGACCGCTACCCAACACAACAGCCTCATAACTAGGGTTGGGTTGCTAGTGCGAGAGGTTTAGGACCCCCCATTCCCCCTCCCGGGGAAAGGGTAGCTGCGCATACAGCAGCGCAGCAGCTGTGGTGATGTCATGCTTGTTTGATTGTTTGCTTATTTTCTGATTGGAGAGTTTTGTTTGCTCATTTGGCTTTCGGTTAGCAATTTTTCTCCAGCTGTAGTTTGTTTTGGGATTCCTACCTTTCTGGGTGCCTGACCTGGTAGATGGCAGATATAGAATGCTTCCAACTACATGGTGGTGTCTATAGGCCATTGCTCCTCATGTCTCTCTGAGGGGGCCAGGTTCTGGTGCTGGTCCCCGGCTTAGAATTTCATCGACTGCCTGTTGTCACGGTCTAATATATACACATAAACTCGGTATAGCTCCGGGGAACCAAAGGGGCTCTCCACAGAACAAAGTTTTAAACACAAGATGAGAATGATAAACATCCAAGGGCAAGTACCCAAGTGTGAGGTAATACAATACAGTAGTACCAACAAGCACTGTATAATGAATAATCATATAACTTACTCTATTGTAGCCTCCTCTGGACATGATTTCAGCCAAGTTCTTTGCAGCATCATTCTTTTCAGCCACATTAAGAACACGAACCATCTTGGCATTGACCCGAGCCTTTTCAGTGTCGTACCAGCAGCATACAGAAACATGTAGCCGCCTAGTTGAGTCACAGCACGAGGACAGTAGCTTCCTTATCCCAAGAAGAGGGAGTCTCAACACAGGCTGCAGATGCCAACACTCTGAAGCTAAAGATGCGACTCTTCTCTGATGTGAAGCTGAAGTAGTGAATGTCTGCCACTGTGAAGCTATGACTCTTCCCCTCAGACTAACTCCAAAGACAAGAGATACTTTGGAAAATACATTTACAAGCACCTGCATTGCAGGTCATAAAGACCATGATGTCACACTTTCCAACAGCACAAGGTTTTGGGATTCAAATTAGAGGTGAGAGAACAGTATGTCTTCCAAGCCAAAGCTTTTTCCTGTAATAGAAAGCAAAATGTAACTCCATACAGCACAAAGACATTTTTAACAAAATATTTGTTTAACCAACTACTGTAATGTGATATACTGAAATGATACTTAGCACTGGACATTAAACCTCATTACCCTACCTATCTTATGACAACCTTGTGGTAGTTCAGAGATCACTGCCTCTGTAGCCAGGCCTTTGACATGACACTATAGGCCAGTTGGTCATTACATTGCTTTAAATGTTTATCCAGCCCAGGAACCATCAGACACTCGAAACTATTGGACACTCAACCAGGGAACCATTCGGCACTCAGGCAAGAAACTTTTGAGCACTTGGCCAGGGAACCGTTGAGATCTAGTCCAGGAACTGCCAGGCACTCATTCTGGGAATGGTCAGGGCCATTTAAATGAGATCAATGGGAATAACTGGTAAAGTAGGACGGTGGATACTCAATTTCCTGTCAAACAGAACAGAAAGAGTAAGTCAATCAAATAAAATTGAGTCCAAGCGCAGTTAAAAGCTCTGAACCTCAGGATACAGTCCTTGCACCACTGCTTTTCCTTATTCTCATATCAGATATAGACAAAAATACAAGTCACAGCTTCGTATCATCCTTTGCAGATGACAAAAATCAGAATGAAAATTTCCTCTGCTAAAGACATTGAAAAATTACAAGCAGATATTAATAAAGTTTTTGACTGTGCAGCAGAAAAAACATGATGTTTGACAGTGATAAATTCCAAGTATGTATTGAGGTATGGTAAAAATGAGAACCCTAAACATAATATAGGGTGCAACACAATCAAATCTGCCCATAGTAGGAAAGCAGCATGTAAAGGATTTGGGAATGATGATGTCTGACGACCTAATGTTTATGGAGCATAACCAAGCAAATATTGTGTCAGCCAGAAAAATGATAGGATGGATTACGAGAACTTTCAAATCCAGGGATCCCATCACAATGGTTGTACAGTACTCTTCAAATCACTTGTGCTGTCCCATCTTGAGAACCGCTCAGTACTCACTTCCCCCTTCAGAGCAGGAGAGATTGCTGAAATAGAGAGTACAGAGAACATATACGGCATACATAGATGCGATAAAGCACCTAAATTATTGGGATCATCTCAAAGCTCTCCAAATGTACTCACTATAAAGGAGACAAAAGAGATTTCAAATAATATACACATGGAAAATATTGGAGGGCCAGGTCCCAAATCTATACAGTAAAATAACAACATACTGCAGTGAACGATATGGAAGAAAATGTAGAATAGAACCAGAGAAGAGCAGGGGTGCCATAGGCACAATCAGAGAACACTGTATAAGCATCAGAGGTCCGAAAGAGTACTAGAGTTAGAATTGACAAACTTGTCAAAGGAGCTAATGAGGTCAATGCCACAGCGCGGGCCAGGGGAACATCAGCGACCCTTAGTTTCTGGATTCTGAAATTTCCTTATCATTCTCATTCTCTCGGCTTGGTTACCCTTTACAGTTTTATCAACTGTGTCTATTCTCAAGCTAAACGAAATTTCTTTTATCCTAAACCTGCTTCCAACACTAGGAGCACTGTGCTCTGCCTTCCCTTCATATCTGAACTCAAAACTTTTACTAATACCTATCGTCCTCTTGACATAAAGCTCGCCTTTCGACAAACTAAAACCCTTCATAGCAATCTAGTTCACACTGCTTCTCCTGCTTCTAATGCTGCTGGTGTCTACTCTATTTCCTGTTTGTCTTGTCCTCTCCAATACTGTGGAGGAACTGGCCGTACACTTAATGACAGACTTAAGGAACACAAAAGAAGTGTTAAGTCTGCAGACACTAACAATGCTCTCTTCTGTCATGTTAGGGATTCAAATCCCTATTGATTGGTCTTCCTCCAAAATAATCTTTCTTGCCTGTACTCTACACAGACACCGTCTTGTTGAATCGGCTGTGATACACAACCTTCCCAATATTAACCCGAGTCCTGGCTTTGTTGCTGTTGACTCTTCCTTTTCACAGTATATATTCAAATGTTCTAAACTTTCTAACAAACGTGACCTAACATAAGCCTACCCTTCCTTTTATCTTTCTTTTTCTTTCTCTTGCTTTCGCTTACGATCCCTTTCTTATTCCTATTATTACACCCCTACCTTCTGTACTGATTAATTGATTGATGAAGATTAAACCACTCAAGAGGTGGCACGGGCATGAATAGCCCATAAAGGAAACTGGATTGATTGATTGATTAAGATTAAGCCAACCAGGAGGTGGCACGGGCATGAATAGCCTGTAAACTGGACTTCCATACCGTTTGCCTTGCTCTTATCTTCCTCTAAAGTTTCCCTCTCCTAACCTCTTTCTTGCCTATTTATAGCCCTTGCTTCCTTCGTCTCATCACAATCAACTTGATAATGGTCCAGGATGGACCAAAACGTCGTCGTCTCTTCAATTTCTAGTGTGTGGTTTGGTCAACATTTTTCAGCCACGTTATTGTGACTTCATCTGCACACCTATTAACTGGCAATCTGGGATAAGGAGATGCAAGCACCTGTCTGACGCACAAAGAAGAATAGTAGTAGTAAGGAGGGTCCGCAAAATGGATATGCAGCTGGTGCCACCAGGAGGGCCAGATTTCCACACATAATAATGAGTTAGTATGCTATTACGCTGTATTTTACTATATACTGTATTACCATCACTTTTTTCTCTCTCTTTTTTTTTCTCTCCTTTATTTGTATGCGGATTTTGTTGTGACTTCTACATCTTGGAGAATGCATATTGGGCACTAAGCATGTGAAGCTGGAACAAAATTGGTCAACATGTTAATCAGCCATAGGTGGCAGAAATTGTGACTTTTATTTTTTGGGGGGGCCAATTTATTTACAGATTTCAAACTCTATTCTCTTTGTCTCTTTAGGTTGTATTGATGAATGAGGACCAGATGACGGCCTTATCACTTATATATGGGCAATAAAGTTACTGCAATATATAAGTTTGTTATCCCTAACCTATCCCCTATACAGTATTTTGTTTTTTGGGGGTTAGTTTTTCTTTACTTCATTTCAACACGTATTGACCTACAATTTTCACATATTCGAGTACGAATGTCAAGCAATCTTAATTAAAATTTACAAGATATGTCATAAATTCAAAGTACGTACTGTACTATCATTGTCAACAACATTAACTGCATTTTTTTTTATGAACAGAATTTTCAACATTAAGACACCTTAAAAAATTCAGTTTCTGACCGATTCTCACCATTTTTACATATTATGTGCAAATTTCTTAGTTCTAAAGTGTCCTCACCTTCGTTTAGTCATAAAGCCATAAAGTTTGGAGTTATAATTTTTTTCATCTAACTTTTGCATATACAGTATTTGGATGGCCACATTGAAAAAATGTTTTACAGTAAACTATAATCTAAAACAATATTTTGAGGTGAGGAACATGAACGTTATATACCATTCTGAGACCATAATGAACAAAATAATAATTGGTGATATTTTAATATTTTTAAAGTTAATTTAAAATTGTGAATTTTTTATTTATTGTTTTAATTTTTTAACCTTTTTCTGTTCATGGTATGATGTTGATCCATTAGGAAAAGTTGGATCATTTACCATGAAGATATTACTAAAAAAAAAATAAAAAATGAGTGTGCATGAGGAAATTTCGGTGCACCGCCACTGGGCCCCTTAAACCACACCAACCAAACCAAATTGAACCTAACCCAAGCCAACACAGCCTAAACTACAGATATACTGTATACACATTTATCAATTAGAAACTGAGCTTTATCCTAACACTAATGTATAAGTTGGCAGTGCTCCAACACACACTTTTGGGATTATGTTCACTGTGTCACATTTGGAAAATGAGCTGTAACAGGGGTTCAAATGATGAACAAGTGTGTCACATCATAACAAAGATCAAGCTTTGTTCAGTATTTTATTCATTCTCAAAACTAGAACTATACAACTCATTCAAATCTAAGTACAGTAGCCTAATGTCATAGAAATAATCAATAGAAATAATCTATAGTAGTTGAACTTCACCAAAGTCTGAATCTGTGTATTACACTTCCATTTGTGATGTCTGTTGTGGTGTTTGAAGAAGGTTGTTATTGTTTTTATATAAGGCTGCCTGTAGACAGAAAACAATATTTCCATGTGGCATGTAAACACACTGTTTAACAGAGGCTTTGCTATTCCTGGTTACACCAAGAAAGGCAAAGTCCATGCCCCAAGACCCCACACAGAGGATCAGCTGGAAGACTATCTATTTTCACCAATATATTAAATACTCATAGCTTGAATACACCTAAATACATACTAAATATGGCAACAAATACTCATAGCCTAACAGTAGATTATTAAGGCCCCTTTTTGCCCAGCTGCAAATACTCAACCCCAATTTTCAATAATGCTGCAACATTTACCTTCAGACCAAACAATTTGCCATACTTTTTTGCATTCAAATGTGTAAAAGTCTCCAAACTTGACATATTAATTGTAAGTGATTCTTATTCATCCTTAATTGCTCTTAACTCTTTAAGAATGTTTTTGAACATGCTCATGTCTGAAGCTAGACACAAATACAACAAAATAAATAATGATGGTAACAGTCCATTTCATGTGGATTCCATCACATGTTGGCCTCCAGAAATAGCACTCCAGGTTGCAATTCTTTTTACCATGTCGTGGTACAGTTGACTAGAGCGCGTCTGTGAACATCTAGCACATAGGTTCGAACCCTCGTCAAGGCCCATGTGGATTTATTCATTTGATATATCACCTTATTGTGATTTCTGTGTATTATTATTATTATTATTATTATTATTATTATTATTATTATTAACAGAAATCACACTAGCCTGATATATATCATTGAGGAAAATCCACTATGGCTGTGAGGTGGCACGAATCTGCGACCCAGGCATTGCCAGCCGCATACTCTACCACTGTACCACCGCTGACTTGTTAAAGTCATACAACCGGATCTCTACTGATATCAAAGGAAGCCTGGAGGCCCCTACTGAAGCCAGTCCAAGATAATTCAATTCTGTAGAAATCCGGTTGTATGGCTTTTACAAGGCTGCGGTTGTCTAGTGGTAGAGGATGCAGCTGGCAATGTTCGGGTCGCAGGTTTGTGCCTCTTCGTAGCCCTAGTGGATTTTTTCATTATTATTATTATTATTATTATTAATATTATTATTATTATTGTTATTATTATTATATGTGGGCTAATTAACTTAAAGACAGTACTTATGGTCATCCTCAAACCCATTGGTGATATAATACATATTGTATATACATTAAACTGTGTAACTAAATTATCAAGAAATTGTCATCACACTCCCATGGAAATAAACATTCCATTCACCTGGGATCTAAGAGACTCGAACCACAGACCCCACGTGTGTCAGGGCGAAGCTCTATCGACCGAGCTATTGAGAAGTCTTAATAAGGAAAGTCTCCAGAAGCATCATCCTGCTGCCAAACAGGAATTTTCGACTTTCCCTGACTACTACCGGGGTCGTATTCTGGGGAATATTATAAATTGTCATATAAATTGTCATCCGCACTTCCGTGGAAATAAACATTCCAATTTACATGACATGGGCACCGATCACTAATTCCTCTGAGCTTCAGTAGTAGTCAGGAAAAGTTGTAAATTCCAGTTTGGCTGCATTCTGCTGCCAAACTGGAAACTTTCCTTGGAAACTTTATTGAGACTACTCAATAGTTCGGTTGATAGAGAGAGCTTCAGTCTCACACACATGGGATCCACAGTTTGAGTCTCCTAGAGCCCAAATTAATTGAATAGTTTAACAAGATTATAATGTTTAGCTAAATGAATTTTGGGGGTTCAGTCCCTGAGCCCATTATATGTGGAACCTTTTCCACTACCGCCCACAGGATTGATATGGGGTGCATAATAAATAAACCACTCAACTTGCTGTGATCAGCAGCAGAGGAGAAGCCAGACCCCCAACATCATCTGACCCTCACCCCAATGGAGTCTGCCCCTTAATCTGCTCACGTACTCCAGCAGTACGAGGGAGGCAGCATATCACTGCGGGCTGGTGAAAATGGATGCCTACCGGCAGCACAGATATCTAAAGCACAAAACTCGGCGACCAAACCCAGATGCCTAGCCAGGATCGAGCTTGAATCAGGAGTCCTTGGAAGAAAGTTTCAAGAGATGCAGTCCCCGTGGCATAGTGGTAAGACACTCGCCTGGCGTTTCGCGAGCGCTTTGCCCTGGGCCGGGGAGGATTGATTTGGCATCAATCCTTAACTGTAGCCTTTGTTTACGTTACAATGGGTACCTGGTTGTTAAACGATTTGGCGGGTCGTATTCCGGGGAATATTAGGATTAAGGATTTGCCCGAAACACTACGCGTGACAGTGGTTGTACAAGAATGTAATAACTCTTGTACATATGAATAAATAAATAGAGATAACGCAGTAAGGTGCACTCAGTCCGTCGGTGGTTAACTTAGCTGGCTTCGTTCTTATCTTACAACACAAAGCAGCAGGTAAAAACAACCACAAAGAACACTGTACAGTCTTAGTACAAGTACTACTCATGCATGGTAATAACACCGCCATAACTCGTGCATGTTAATAACACCGCCATAACTTATGCATGTTAATAACACCGCCATAACTCGTGCATGTTAATAACACCGCCATAACTCATGCATGTTAATAACACCGCCATAACTCATGCATGTTAATAACACCGCCATAACTTATGCATGTTAATAACACCGCCATAACTCGTGCATGGTAATAACACCGCCATAACTTATGCATGTTAATAACACCGCCATAACTCGTGCATGTTAATAACACCACCATAACTCATGCATGTTAATAACACCGCCATAACTCGTGCATGTTAATAACACCACCATAACTCATGCATGTTAATAACACCGCCATAACTCATGCATGTTAATAACACCGCCATAACTTATGCATGTTAATAACACCGCCATAACTCGTGCATGGTAATAACACCGCCATAACTTATGCATGTTAATAACACCGCCATAACTCGTGCATGTTAATAACACCACCATAACTCATGCATGTTAATAACACCGCCATAACTCATGCATGTTAATAACACCGCCATAACTTATGCATGTTAATAACACCGCCATAACTCGTGCATGTTAATAACACCACCATAACTCATGCATGTTAATAACACCGCCATAACTCATGCATGTTAATAACACCGCCATAACTCGTGCATGTTAATAACACCGCCATAACTCGTGCATGTTAATAACACCGCCATAACTCGTGCATGTTAATAACACCGCCATAACTCGTGTATGTTAATAACACCGTCATAACTCGTGCATGTTAATAACACCGCCATAACTCGTGCATGTTAATAACACCGCCATAACTCGTGCATGTTAATAACACCGCCATAACTCGTGCATGTTAATAACACCGCCATAACTCACACCCTGGCCACAGCACTACACAATATCACTTCTTGTTTACATCGACTCCCGCGCCGCCTGCCCAAACTATCTATTTTTCCCAGGAAAATTATTATATTCCACATCACTGTATAGCTAATGAGTTGAAAAAAGTTTAATAGGCTTTTAAAGGTTACACCAAGCAAGCAAACTGTAAGGCATAGAAAGTGTTATAGAATTTATTAACGTGTTTGTTAATATTTGACCAAAGGTTAACTGCTTTAGTTATAGCTGGGAAAAGAATTTTATTCATTATTTCAGGGATGTTAAGTATAACCGGGAGACGCTAAATACAGATTTTTAGAAATATTTCGTTATAAAATGAGCATATTTCCTAGTAACATTAGTTTATTCGTGTCCTACATTTATTAGTAATGATATAATAAGATAATATTTTGCATTTCCTCTTTATTTGCGAAATTCTAAGTTTTTTTTTAATAAGCTTAGGTATACACAGCAATATGCTGCTACCCTATTCTATAAATTCAAAATTCAAATGTTTATTTAGGTAAAGTACATACATACAAGGGGTGATACAAATATTGATGAATTTATAGATAGAGCTAGTACATACAATGCCTAAAGCCATTATTACGCAAAGCGTTTCGGGCAGGAAAAACACTAAAGACTAAAACTTAATACTAATTGAGATTAAAGTATAAAATGTGTTGAGAAAATAAAAAAAATAAAAAAAGGGGGGAACATGGCAGAAAAACAGCAAAAGTTCAGTTTTGTCGACAAACAGCATTGTTTAAAAATAACAGACATGGGTTGACATTATAGGAGTAAGGTAGGTTACAGGGAGTTAATTAGGTAGCGTTTAGTTTTTATCTTAAACTGGTTGAGAGAGGTACAGTCTTAATCTAAACATCTATTTAGTTTCCTACACTGAGCTTTAAATTTGCTCTGTACCTAGTGGTACCCAATCTCATAATTTTTATGTAATATCAAACAACCTTATCATTGTGTTCATTGCTGTCTTCTTTTATGTGCTAGCCATATGCTGTTTTGTGACTACCAATTTTTGTCAACTACCATTCAAGCTGTCATTGCAATCAATCTTATATTGTTTCTGCTGTATTGTGCCTACCAATTTGTTGTCAACTACCATTTTAAGCTGTCATTGCAATCAATCATAGCTACCTATGTGCTTTAATATACTGTACCTATAATTTTCTCTCATCTTTTTTCTTTTTTCATTCCATGTAATCTGTTATCATTTTTTTGTCTATAAATTTTGCAAGTATTTACCTCCTTAAAATTGTCTTAGATTAAGGACCTGCCCGAAACGCTGCGCGTGCTAGTGGCTTTACAAGACTGTAATTACCATAATTGTATCCTCACATTCCTTATGTACATTCTTGTATATGCATAAATAAATAAATAAATAAATAAATAAATAAATAAACATGATTGGGAAGGTCGTTCCACATTCTGGGTCCCTTGATTTGTAGAGCATTTCTAGTTTGATTAAGTCGTACTCTTGGAATATCAAAAAGGTATTTGTTTCTGGTGTGGTGCTCATGGGTTCTGTAACAACCTTCAATGAAGCTTTTAAGGTCAGGATTGGCATTTTCTGAGATTCTTTCCAAGAATCATTAGATTCTTGGAAAGATCTAAGAAAGGATTTTATACTCAAGTTCAAGTATGTTTATTGAGATAAGCAAGAAATACATCTCAAAGGGATAGAGTAGCTTAGGCTATTTCTACCCCCCTCTACTTCAAGTCCCTCAAGGGGCGCACAAATTCAGTGAGTACAAATAGACAAATAACATTACAAGAATCCCATTTAACATTGCAGGTTAATATAGTAAGTACAGCATATAATTGTTACACTCTTGGGGCAAAATTCTTGTAGCTCCTAAGTATACTGTCTATCATACCATTATCACACATCCAAACAATTTGATGTGGTACACTATTTATTTCCTTATTTCTATAGTGATCAATAAGTTGACACTCTAATACATAATGTTCTAAGGTGTGGGCGTGCGGCATACTACATAATTTACACTCCTTATCTTTTTCACTGACATCAACACCGTATTGCCAGATATATTTGTATCCTAATCTTAATCTCATGTAAATTGAATCCTTCCAAGTAGACTTTCCTTTACCATAATTGAAGGACGAATTTGTATTTATTATTGAATAATTCTTAAGTGTGTTACTACTGTCCACCATTGCCATTCTCTTTATCATTTCTTCACCCTCCTGGATCATCTTGATTCTTGTTTTTATTTGTTTCAAGGTTAACTGACATACAACATCAACAAGAGTTTTTTCAGTGGCTCTCTTCGCTATGTCATCAACTACCTCATTCAACAGTATTCCCACATGTGAAGGGATCCACATGAATCTTACTTTATACCCAGTTTTTTCTAGTCTCTTAACATTCTCTCTACACTCTATCACAATATTCTGATATACTGGACGTCTGCTATTTAAAGACTCTAACGCTCCTCTGCTGTCAATAAAGAAGCAAGCATTTTTACCACATTTGACTACTTCCTGTAATCCTGCTAATACTCCTTGGAGTTCAGCCTGCGTTGAAGAGACATTGTCAGTTAAGCGGCGTCCAATAACAGTATCTACAGTGCCGATGTCAGTGTACTCCCTGATCAAGACTCCACATCCTGCCTTCCCATCCCTAGGTACTGACCCATCACAATATACATGTAGAGTGTTTTCTGTGGGCAGTTTTCTAATTATACAATCATATGTTGCCCTCAGCTCTCCTATTTTATACATACTTTTTTTCTTATGCAAGTTAGTTTAGTTCATTTATTATGCACCCCATACCCATCTTGTGGGCGGTAGTGGAAAGGGTTACAGAGGCACATAATGGGCTCAGGGACTGAACCCCACAATTCATTTAGCTAAGCAAGTTACAATCTTGATGAGCTAGTTACAAAATTCAGTATAAGTCGTCACATCAACAATGGGTTCGAGATCGACCACAAGTACAGGTTCTAAATTAAGCAACTGACATATGTGGAGAGCTAGTGTCACAATTGATATGTTTGTCCTGCACACCGCCCCCCATCCAGTGGGCGGCGGTGGATAGGTTACAATCACTTAGTTACTACCTACAGTTACCAAACTGGGGATATTTGGCTAAAATTTCTGGTAGCAGATCATTTTGAATGAAATATTGACACATCGCTGGAACATTGGTTATAGAATTGTCTCTAAATTCACGTATCTTTTCGCACTCCATCACATAGTGACGGAGGGTGTGCGAATAATTTTGTTGACACAGTTTACATTTGGTCAGGTCTACATCAGCAGATAATGAGAATTCCCAGAGATACTTGTAACCGAGTCTAAGCCGAGCAGTAGTAACATCTAGAAGTCTGCTGATTTTATTGGATGATCCATAGATGTGTGGCTCCTCTTGCATGATAGTATGATGATAGATGGAATTACTGGTGTCAATTTCACTTTGCCTCAGATCTACAAGATCTTGTTGAAGTTCTCGGTGTACTGCTGCTCTCAGATTGCTCATTGACAATCCAAGGTTACACTCAACGGCTCCTTTAAAGGCAGATTCTTTGGCTAACTTATCAGCTCTATCATGCATTCGGAGGCCAACATGAGATGGAGACCACATGAAATGGACTCTGTTACCATCCTTAATAATTTTGTTGTATTTGTGTCTAGCTACAGACACGAGCATGTTACAGTTATGTCTTAAAGAGTTGAGAGCATTTAAGGATGATAAGGAGTCACTTACAATTAATGTATCAAGTTTTGAGACTTGTACACATTTCAGTGCAAGGATCAAGGCAAATAGTTCGGTATGAAGGGTAGAGGCCCAGTTGTTTATACGGACTCCCCACTCAAAGTATAGGCCATCGCCCATTGTCAGGACAACTGCACTTCCAGCTGCACCCGTGGTGCGGTGTAGGGAACCATCAGTGTATATAATTTGAGAGAGAGAATGCTCTGTGGAATGAGTATATAATGAATATGTATATAATTTGAGAATGAGAATACATCAGTATGGCTTAAGGCGTTGAGCTTTGCCTCAAGACGAAGCTTGGGCTGATCTCTAATTTGCTTCTTGGGTGGAAAGGGAGGGATTAAAACTGGAAAGGGTGTAACCTCCCACGGTGCAGGAAAGGGCTGTTGTTGTTTCTCTTGGTACAAATCATGAACCCCATACATTCTGAGTTGAGTTCCAGTTTTTGTTATCCATTTGGAACAATGCTGATCTTCAATAAAGAAATTCTGGAGGGCTTCTGTGCAAGGATTAGGATGAGTTAGCCTAAGCATTTGTATACCAATTTGACAGTTAATTTCAGTAACACGATCAACAACGCTCAGAATATTAAGTTCCTGTCAAATGTTAAGTATCTTTGTGGTACGAGGGCACCCAAGGATTATCCTCAAGGCTTCGTTCTGCAATTTTTCAAGCCCTCCAAGCTTTCTTTCAGGCATCAAAACAAGCAGAGGTGCAGCATAATCCACTAAAGATCTGATGTATGCAAAGTACATCATTTTGACAATTCTGACATTGGCACCATAGCCTGAGTAATAACCTGCAACAGCCTTGAGAGCTCGGAGCCTCTCTTTAAACTGACGACAGAGTCTGAATACAACAGGACCATACAGTGGCACCTCAAGGCCAAGGTATTTGAATCTGTTTACATAGTCAAGCTGGGAGCCATCAGACAGTTGCATCTTGCGAACAGCTCCTCCCTGCCTGGGTGGGCGCAGATTTAGTATCTTTGTTTTCTCTGCTGAGATAATTAAACCTAGGTCCTGACATGAGTCTAATACAGAGTTAAGAGTGTTCTGCGTGTTAGCATACCCAGTGGTGTGTATCATTATATCATCAGCATAGCTAATGATGTGGACGTTGGGTTTGCTCGGTATAGAGTTTAACAGCGTGTTTATTAAGATATTAAATAAGGTAGGACTGAGGACACCACCCTGCGGGGTACCTAGTTCAAAGTCTCTTGTTACACTCCTATGCCCCTGGAAAAATATAGATGACTTCCTGTTGGATAAGTAACCCCTGATCCAAC